TGCAAATGACAGCACAGAAAGTGGGTATTTAACATTGAAGTTAATGCACCTCTGCTCCTACTGTGCCTGCTTTGTGCCTGTGATCTATTCATGGGGAGAAGTACTGTGTTCTTGCCTAGATTGACAGGAGATTTTCATTGCTTGCAATGAACCAGTCTTGATCTGATTTAGCTATTTCTATCCTGGCATGTGGCAGTGGTGTGGTGCATTAACAGTCTCACAGCAGTCTTCAGTGGGTTCAATGAAATTAATGTGAGTATTAGTCAAATACTGGCTGACAATTTTCTTAGGCTGGGCTCTGACAAGAGTTGTGGTCGGGAAATTATGATTTTGTTATTTCATTTCACTTAACATTGATGTGTGGGGTGATATATAAGGTGGTTATTTTTTAGAGTAGGTTCTTTATCCTGGCTCAGTCAGGGACTGGAGTCTGGTATTTGTATTAAATATTGTATCAAGTGATTTGCAGTAGCTGTGGGGTTTAGTGGGATGAGAGCTATTTGTTTTTACACAGAAACCTGTGGTTCCTTTTGTTAGGGCTTTGAATTGCTTTTATGCTCCATTCTCACAGGAGAAATGCAAATGCTGCTGAAAAATTATTTTTGATTACGGGCAAAGGTAGCAGAAAAGCCTTACAGAAGAAGTTAGGTTTGTCTGCTTTTTGCCAGATTTTTTTTTAAAGTGTAGAAATTATGTTCCACTGCCCTCCTGCTGAGGGAATAGCACATGGAAGCACGGATGAGAAATGCAACTGTGCAGCCACTGTTGGCCTGGGCTTTAGCGGTCCAGCCCTGTAGGAAGTTACAGAAGAGGCACCCCAGGGACAGCAGGACCTTTCAGAGGTTTTGGGTGGGATGTGGGAAAACCAGACTGTGAATGTGGTGAGCATGGAGAAACCAGGGTGTTATTTGTGAGCCCAGACTAGCAGAGATGCTGTGGCAGCTCACTCAACAGGGGGCTGTGTCTGAGCAGGGTGAGGAGGGAAGCGGCTGACATGCCAGCTCAGGGCTGCTTTTCCCATCAGCAGGAGTCAGCAGACTCCAAACTGGAGCTCCCTGCAGCTTCTCCTTTGTTTTGGTGGTGGTTCTCACTTCTTTCCCAGCCCCACTGTGCTACTGGGGAAAACTCCCTGTGGCCTCACCGTGCTCCCTGCACGCATGTTCCTGTGTTCCTTCTTGGTTCATTTATCATAACTCATTAAAGTAAATTCATGGATTTATTGCTGTTCTCCCCTAGGAGAGGCTGACCCTGTCCTTGAGCAAGGCTGTGCTTGCTGGTGGCACGTGACACTGTCTGGATGTGATGCTGGTTACTTCCCTGGCTTGCCTGGCTTCCTTCCTCATGGAAGCTTCTGAAATATGCATCCTTTGGATTTCACTGTCACCAGGTAATCTGATCAATATAACAAATGGCTGCCAAAATTCAGGTGGGGCCCTTGAAGCTGATATGAGTATATTACATTATGGGCTGACCTGTTGCACCTTGAGTTATTTCCTTGCTCATGCAAAACAGCTATTTTATTCTCTCCTCTTTCAGCTCCTGAAGAAGAGCAGGTAGAAGTAATCAGTGAATTTTGTGGAGGCAAAAGGGCCTTTCCAGTCAGTTGAAAGACATGCAAGCTCCATTTCATCTTGGCTTATAAATCAGCAGTAGAGAAGTGCTGTAGTTCTGCTTTTCTTGTTAACTAGTGCATTAGGAACAGGAAGCAGAGCATTTAATGTTATATACTTAATGGCACTGGCATTTACCTATTTAGCCATGTTTACTAGAGTAATTACAAATCAGATTAAGTGTGGTGCTTGCTGACCTTTAAGGAAGGGCCCAAAACAAAAGGCAAAACAAGTTTTATAAATGTTAGGCAGAACAACTCAACTACTTGCCACAATCTCAGTATTTATTCATATAAAGAAAATAAAAGACTTGATGCAGACAAAAGATATTCTGATAGGTCCCAGTAAAAATTTCAGAAAGACTTTAAAAGAAAAAAAATCCCATGCAATTTTATTCTGTGATAGCTAGGGGGGAAAGGTTACAATCCTCCATTTACAATTTTGAAAATACAGAATAATCAGTGCTTGCAGCAAAAGTAGGATTCTCCTGATATTTTTCAATTGTGACTCAACCGTTAAACCCAGATTGACTTAAATACAAGTTTGTTATTTAAATGTGAAAATAATTTATGGTAGCACAAGATAGAAACTGGAACTTAAAATATTCACGCTGGCTATTTATCTACTGGTTGCCTCCCATGAAAGCAATTAATTTGAGCACCTGGGTATTTTCATGCATTCTGTGGGGTTGGTTTTATACAATTTACATGGAGAAGTGGTTTATTTCCAAATTACACCTCATACGCTGAAGAAATTTCCCTGAAGTGGCATTGCTGGTGTTGCCTGTTGAAGTTACCCATGGAGAGCCTGAATTCCTGCCCTTGCCTGGTGGCTGCCTCAGCCCCTTCCTGCCAGGAGCAAAAATCCTCTTCCCATCATGCAGTTCTGCAGCTGGAGGCCCCTTCAGTCCCAGTTTGGGGCAGCTTGTGTTCATAGCTGAGTATGAAAACCAGGAAAATTTGGGCAGCTGAAGAAAATGCTCCTGCTTTTCTGTCGGGCTGAGGCCGGGGGTAGCAATGCCCCTCTGAAAATGGACATTGGCAAACTTTGGCAGCTTTGGGATGACCCTCTTCCAAAATGGGAAAATTACCCCAGGTGTCAGCATTGCCACAAGTGCTCTCCCGAGTCTTTCCTTGGCATCTGACTTGGTTATGGAGATGGGCTTGGTTTTGTCTGTCTCCCCTGAGCATCCATATGTATGAGAGAGAGAGAGATTTTATTAGTTTTCCTCCATCAAATGCAGAGTCGTCTCAGCACGGATCCTGTGCATGTGCGTGCCCTTTGAAATGCTTTCCTAGCACGGTGACAAAAGCAAACATTTTCTGGTCCACAGAATTATCATACAGATTTTAACCTTAATATTACTTTTAGGCTGTTTTCCCCACACTGCCTGTGGTGGGCTGCAATTTCTTCTTCCCTTTTACCAGGAATACTGGAACTGCTCTGTCACTGATTTCACTGGAGTCATCTCTCTCCCAAAGGAAAAGGTACGGCTGATTCTCCTTTAGATGAGAGTCAACTCCTGTCCCACTCCTGACTACACAGAGCTGTGTCAGCTCACCCTGGGATTTTGCAGACTCTCCTCTGTAACCAGTTGCATTTCCATGGTGCTATCCTATATCTTCCCAGAACTGTTTTGCTTTTCCACCTATGTTCCCACTGAGGTTCAGTGGAGGAAGGACGATGAGCTGTGTGACAGCATGCTGACCTGCAGTAGCCATATATCTGAATTACAGGTCTCAGGGTCTCTTCTTTCTTTTTTATCAGGCAGAATCCTCTCATTTCTCAAAAATACTTAATAATAAAAAATTACTTTGGATTGCTTGAGCATTACACTTTCTCAACTACTGTTTGACAAAAAGGTGGGTTCAGGGATGCCCACAGGGATGCTTGCAATACATTTTAAAAACCAGCTCTGTAATATACCTCTTGCTTGTGATTTTGTTGCTTATTCTGGGTGTGCTGTTTTGTCCAAACACCCACAGCTGAAGATTATGGGCATTGCAGTAGCAAAGCCTAGCAATTATATCCCCTCTCCTGTGCCAGCCTGGAAGCTAATCCCCGTGTCCCTTTGTTTCTCTTCTTTTATTCCCTGGTAGAAAGGAAAATGCCCCTGGCCTTTCACCTTGGTTTTGCGTTTTAGAAGTTCTGCAGGTTTTTCTAAAGATGGACAGAATTTTCCATAGGGGACAGACACCACATTATGTCTGCAGGGTGGCCCAAAACCCAGACCTGAGGCATACAGGCTAAGGGCTTTCTTTCCTTGGGCAAAGGGCTGTTGTTTGCTTTTAGGAGCCCAGTGCTGAAATTGCCAGTGTGACTCCCAAAACTGAATATGGATGAAGATTCCTTCTAGAAAAAAGGTGGCTGGACAAAAAGCTCTTACTGCCCATGGAGTGCCCAGGGTAGCCCACAACCTGCCACTGACACCCAAAAGTTACAGGCTTTCTTTCCTTGGGGAAAGGGGAGTCATTTGCTTCCATGAGCCCAGTGCTGAAATAGCCAGTCCGAGTTCGGAAATTGAATACGGACAAAGATTCCTCCCAGACCAAAGGCAGCAGAATCTGTCCTGAGGCAGACACTGGATTAATGTATTTCACACGAATTTAGAAGCACATGCGGAGAGGGAGAGCAGATCAATGTTTAATTATGCAAATAGTCTTGCGGGCTTTAATATGAAACTGGAATAAACCTGTCACTACAGCCACACTGGGGACAGGCAGTGAGTGAGCTGCTGTGCTCCTGCTGGGTTAGCAGGGGGACATGGTGGATTGGGTGCAGGGGGTCAGGGTCTGGCTGGCAGCTCCTGGCATCACTGGAGAGCTGCCCCAGGGGCTGAGCTGCACCCTGCTCCCACTCATAAAGGCAGAGATGAAGTTTCTGGGTGACAATTGGTATAGCTGTGTCTGCCTATAGCATAGCTTTGTACAGTACTGTTATTTAAAGCTCTCTCAGTGTTAGTTCAGGCTCTGCTTGGCTCACCTGATGTGGATGTATGGGGACACTGCACTCTGACAAGCCTGTGTTTCATTGGGCTTTTTAATGAGGAACTCATTTAATTGTGCTGGACTTGATGAGCTTGTGTGGGAATCCAACTATGAAATTTCCTCTCGGTGAGAACTTCACCAGGAGAGTGGGAATTACCTCCCTTCCTTGCAGGGCTGCCCTGCGGTTTGTGAGCACTGTCCATGGAGTCATGAAGCCTTCTGGAGGGTGCAGATATGGATGCACGAGTGTTGTGATGTTGCAAGAAATCTGCACTAAGTTGCCAGTCTTGTCCTACTTAAAAGCATTGTTGCTCTTTACTCTTTACTATGGTACCTCTTCTGTTTTAATTAAAACTTTCGTAGGGCCATTCACACCTCTGTTCATTTTATCCACCCATTTCAGCTTCCCTACGTTTCCCAAGTTCCTGCTGAGCCCCGGGAGGAAGGAGACCCAGCAGTGTGTGCCTCCTGGCAGGGATGAGGCAATTTGACCATTTGGATGTGTTCAAATCTGGAGGAAAGGTAAAATCTTCACACTGCAAAGGAGTTTTTAGGAAACACATGTATATATTTTTCTATTTAATCTCTCCTTTTTCCCATCAGGGGGTGTCCCCAGTCCCCGGTGCTTGTGTCCAGTGCAGTGGCAAAGCACATAGTTAATACAGCTGGTGTGTTTCTCTTAAAGTGGTGTTGAAGTTTTGTGGGTCTCCCTTTCCTGTGCCCACTTTTGGAACCATTTCTGCTTTTGTTTTTTTTACTGTTCTGTTTTTACACCCTGCTGGATCTGCATGTGGATGAGCAGAATTGCTCATCTGTGAGCTCTTCTGGGGGACATGGTAGGGAGGGTGCATTTCTGATACCCTGCTTGCCTGGTGGTTGTGTTCAGCATGGCTCTTACCTTGCATTGTTAAGATAATGGAGGAGGAAGAGGAATATTGCCTGCTGCTGTGTTAGATTAGGTAATGATTTTCTAGCTCTCACAAGCTCCATCAGGTTTGTTTCGGTGCCCACACAGAGCCTTGATTCGCTATCAAAAGAAAGTCTTGAATTATGCAAAGACTAAGCTATGAGTAGCAGAGCTACTGCTGAGCATGGTTTTACACTGCCTCTGCTGAATATTCATGGTAATCAAAGATCACAACTTTGTTTGCTGGAGTTAAAATATTTTTTTAGTAGCTTGGACAGTTCCAAACCTGCACAATATATGTTGATACAAATATCAAATAGCTCTGTTGCCTCCCCTAAAGCAGCATTTTTTCAGGCGGTGGGCAGAGGAGATGAAAACACAAGTCACGATAGGATTTTGGGTAAAAAAACAAGCACTTCAAACTGTTAATTCTTTGTCTTTGGTCTTAATACAGTACAAAACCAGAAGATGAGCAAAGGCATTCCTGTACCCAAACTGAGATAAGGGAGTTTAATTGCCATCTACCACGTTTCTGAGGTGTTTATTATGAGAAGAGGTGTCACGAGGTGCGTGGTAGAAAATAAAAATATTTGTCAGTGCAGGTTTGTAGAACTGTCTCATGCTCAAAGACTTGCTCGGGGTGGGGGGAGGCTTGTGTCTGGTTGAGAAGGGGATGGTTAGAAATGAAGCAGGGCCAGTATTTGCCTATTTGCTTTTATGATATGCTAAGGTACCTGCTTTTCCCCTTTGGGGCTTGCATGTTTCATGAGTAGGGTTTTGCAGTAGGGAGAGAAGGTAATTGAAAACATTTTTGGGCTGTGACAACGAGCTCTTGCCTGTAACAGAATCATGTTTTGCTGTTTTCCCTCTCAGCTTGCTGACAAGATGATAAAAGGTAGTGTGGTATGTGTGCCTTGATAAAACAGGAGCTTTACTTCCAAAGATAGGTAGATAATTTAAAAAATGCTCTGCTTGAGAATGAGAGGACAGGGTGCTGTAGCTTTAACATGCTGATACAGGGAGAGGGATTGATCTCTGATCAGGGAGTGGTTTAGGGGGTAGGCAGGATGTGAAACTGGGTTTCTGTTTAGCCTCAGGAGTGGGACAGTCTCAGAGGTGCCAGCAAAGTCAGTGCTGAAATCAGTGCTCCTGACCCTGACTGGGGGGGCAACACTAGGGAGCAGCTGCAAATGAAGGGGCTTGAAGGGCCTCTGAGGACAGGAGGAGATCACCTGGTAATTTAGGGGATTTTGATCTTTCTGGTGGTTTTGTGCTAAGTAGTGGCATCCCAGCAAAGTGTAGAGGGCAGCATTGGCAGTGAGTTTCCTTGCTGTTGTTGAGGAAGGGTGAGATTTGAGGAAGGATGAGGGGTTACGTTTCTTTCTGATGCTTGGGGGTGACTGAAAGCTTAGACTGCAACTCCACCTCATCAGCAGAGGGACAGAAGGTGAGGAAGAATATAGATGTTAGTGGTGCAAGCATATGGAGAAAGCAGAGAGGAGAGAAAGGGAGAAGGGATTCACAGACGGGAGGTAGAAATACAGTGAGCGAGGTGGATGGGGAGGAGAAGCCTTTCTGCCAGACACATCCCCTTTTCCATTCCCGGGAGAGGCGGTTCCCCAGCGAGGAGCTCGGGTACCTGCAGGTGGCAGCTGCAACACAGGAGATGGAGTTTTCCAGGTCTCTGTCAGCAAAATAAAGACCAATATGAATTCAAGGGGAGAAAACAGCCACATTTCTCAGTCTGCAGTCTGGATCTGTCTGTGCTACTGGCTGCCTGCTGTAAAAGAGCTTCCAGACAACAGACCTGATGGCAGACCAGGGGCTGTGGCTGTGAGGACTTTGTGGTGCTCCTCTGTCAGGGTTTAATAGGGGCCAGGAATGAACCACTGCTACACCCTCAGAATCCACGTAGTTAAAACACCTGAGAAAACAGAGGAGGAGGATCAGGCACTGCTTCCCAGCTGGCTCATGGCTGCAGCATGGAGAATGAGGCCTTGAGAACTACAAATGCATAGAGGAAAGACTGCAGGTTTTCGCTGTTCAAACCTAAATCCTTCCAGCTGGCCACTGGGTGCAGCATAGCCCTGTTGTTGATGGTTGCAGTGCTGGGCCCAGGCAAGGAAACAGCCATGACTGCTTGGAAAAGCCCTTAGGGGAAAAAAGGTCAAAGACTCGAATAGGACGGTGGCAAGAGCTGTTAACTGAAAAATCAGCAAATGCTATGATGAGCAAAGGATGACCTGGCAAACCCTTTCTCTCATCCCACCAGCATCTCTCTCTTTTTTCTCTTTACTGCTCTGCTTTTATGTTCCCTTTGGGATAATGCAGACAACAGGCAATCAGGCAAGACTTTGCAGGGAAGATTAGGAATAAGTGTTATATTTTGGGGTGGTTTTGGTAGCATAATAGAACAATGCCAGGGCATTTTTTTTTCAAAACCAACTCAATCCTTGTTGCTGTGGATCACAGGGCATAAAAATAAAGTGGTCTGATTGCTGCACTTTATATATGATGCATATGAACGCATTTAAACACATACTGATACTGCAAACTCTGTCCATCCAGATCAGGTTTGAACCCCAGCACACCTTTTAGGCCACTTTAGGGCTGCTTGGTGGCCTAGATTGAGTGTCAGTGAATCTCTGACAAATGATCAGATCCCTGTGCCACCTGTACACCTTAGGGCTGAGGGCTCATAACTCAGCTGCTGTATTTGGTTGTTCACATAACTTTGTTTAGAGCACATGTTAGCATAAACACCTCTCTCTAGTCATCTCTCCTGCTTCAAAGAGCAATAAATCAGGCAACTGTTGGCTTTGTAACTCATGATGATTAGAAACACCACATGCATTTCTGTATCCTGAAGAAGTTAACAGTAAAAGTTGTTCTGGTGCTTCCTGGTTTGAGGGGTGAGTTTGGGCAGACCTGCAGTAAGCTGCCTTACAAGTTCCTGTATAGCTCTTAGAGAAAATGTCAGAGAGAAGCAGAGCTCAGGTTTTCAGGTTTTTTGAAAGCTTTAAGTGTCTTCCAATAACTTGAATTTATAGCTGTTTGGAAAGGATGCAGCAGAGCAGAGCAAGTTGGGGAACTCCTGCTGGAGACAGAAATTTGCCTTCAAGTAGTAGGCACAAGCTCTTGCTGCTGCTGCTGCTGGCAAGGAGCTCACAGCCTCTATTATTTGATGGTTGAAAGCGTCTTACAGCTGTTTAAACTTAGAGCAGTTTGAGAGGAAAGCAGCAGAGTGGAACACACTGTTTGTACGGGTGATGTGAGCCCATGTGAACATGGGCTGTGTGCCCCTGAGGGGTTTGTCATCTCTGGGGCTGCCCACCAGTGCTTGGCTCACCTCAGCAATCCTGAGCTGCAGCACTGGGATTTGAGCTGGGAACAACGTGATCATAAAAACAACAGCTCTAAGTAGAGGACTTGGAAAATGCTTTTGGAAAATGAGGAAGCAGAAACCCAATCAAAAATGCTTTCTCCCAGAATAAAGACATGCCAAGGAGCTTTTATTCCCTGAAATATCAGCCCTGAGGAGCTCCTACCTAGGGCTGAAGATGTAGCTGTCAAGTGAAATGAGTGTGACTAGATCTGAGACACTCTCCTTGCTGCAGGTGTGTGTGCAAGTCCCTTAGGAGTCAGGACATGTCCATTGGGCACAACAGGTAACAGCCAACAGCTTATATAAGTGTGGAGTGGTGTGTAGGATGAACTTAGCTAGAGCATCCTGGAAGCAAAAACATGCTCTGTAAGAACAGATCTTAACTGAGATTTTAATTCCCTGGACTGACCATAGTGGAAGCGGCTTTAAAGGAAGGACATAGGGATTGTTTTTCAGTTGGGAACACAGTTCTCTGCCAACAAACGGAGCAAAATGCGGGGTCTTGGCACTTCCTCGTGTTCTTTATACCGGTCTGCTGCTTCAGAATGAAATTCTGCTCTGTGCAGCATTTGGGCCTTAAACCTTTGCAAACATACAGCAGTGCTTGGAAAAAACAAACAAACAACAACAAAAAACTACACAGTAACATGTAGTTTTTCCAATATACTTTGAGAACTGTGCATTTCCAGTGTCTTCCAGCTTTTTATGGATCAGAGGTTGCAGAGATGTATTTGATTTTAAATTAAGCTGAGGTTGTCCTTTACGCATGTGGCCCAAGAAACCTGAATTTAAAGCAAGTACAGCACTGTGGCACCACAGTGAATTCATGAGGCCTGCAAGCACCTCCAGGGAGCATCATTCTCCCACCATTCTCCTATACAACAGGCTCCTCTGATGAGAAGTGTGGAAGCCTCTGCAGTAGCCCTGGTGCGTTCTCTGTGAGGAAAGGGGGTTCAGGGTGCTGGGAAAAGCTTCCTTAAGAGATGTCCAGTGCTTACTGGTTTTGCTGACTCTCTTGGCTTTACTGGCATCGTGGCATTCGGTGCCAATACCACAGCTCCTGGGGAAATCTGAGTAGCCTGAGAGTGTCAGAGTTGGAGCATCTCTTAGGCTCATGATCCTGTGGTAAAGGGGAAAGCCAGGAAGGAGACACAACTGCAAGTTAAAGAAGCAACATTCGGGGAGGGGGGTGGGGGGAAAATACATTTTCCAAAAACGTTTTTTGATGTTTAAGGACTTGATCTGAGACCACTGTTTTGATGACACACTTGCTGATAAGTCCAAAAAGAGATTTATCTGTTTTCATTGAGATTTTGACTTAGGTGCAGTTAGTGATCTGCTGTAACTCTTAAATCAGTCCTCTCTTCTGGCCAGTTTTTCTCTGTTTTGTCTCTGCTACTGAGCTCATTTTCTTTTCTCAAATGTGTTATAAAATTTGTATGTACTTCCTGAAGCTTTAAAGATTTAATAGAGTCTTGTGGAGTGCTGTTCAGTTGATGTGTGCATGGCACAGAGGAATTAAAGGGTAAAAGTTCTTTTAGAGGTGCTGAGGGTTATGATCCTGTTGAAAGATTAGTGAGAAATTCAGCTACACGTTTGTCAGAATCCAAAAAACTTGCCAAGACTGCAAGTATGTGATGTCTGGGCTTTGGTGTTGGCTAAGCACAGTGCAAATACTGGTGGGTACAAAAGCTGGAAACAAGAGGTTAGGTATAAGAAACACAAACCAAGCCAAAATCCGAGATGATGGAAGAGAAAGAAGTGTCCTGCCAAATACACCTCTTTAGTTGTTCACTGACAGAAAAGACACCTTCCAGAAGAGATTGTCTTCCCAGATGCACCTATGAAAAGAAACCACATTATTGAACCAAAATCATATGCACATTGTGGGCTTATGATGATGTTTTAAGTATAAAATATAAAAAAAGTCAGAATTGATGCCGTATTTCCTGCTGATTGTAGATTGTCTCTCTTCCAAAGATACTGATGTTTACCTGCCAACTACTAACAGCACTTAAATATTTTTTGCTGTTTTAAAAATCAAATATTTGAATTGGAGGTAAAGGCCCAGAACTATGAGGATTTCACTGCCAGCAAACTCCCTCAGTGCTGAAGGAGCCAACTGCTTGTTGGGCCAAGGGCGCAGGTAAAGGTACTTTGTGGTTATCAGAGATGGTTCAGACTGAGACATTGCCTGATTCTTCACCTCAGCATTGAGCTGAATGTCAGTAACAGGCAGGGAAGGGGTTTCTTGTGTCCCTGTCTGACATGCAAAATTTTGATTTCTACTCTCTGCCCCAGGTACATGCCTGTGCAGGTGGCTAGATGGGAGCTTTTCCCTCTGCAGAAGTCTGGGATTTGCAAAAAAATAGCATTTCCACAGCCTTGTTTTCAGGTTTAGGCAGGTCTCGCTTGATTTTTCAAGGGAGCCAAGGCGGCCTGCCTGCTGGGGAACATTAACACTGCTGTACTCGCTGATGTCCTGAGGTCAGTGATTGTACCCCATGTGAGTAAAGGATCCTTGAGTTGGAGATGTTCTGCTTTTTGCCCCTTCTGCCACTCCTCTGAAGAGCTGATAGAAGGAATGACTTTAAGAAAGGGGTTTGGACCTGCTTCAGTGCAGTAATGGGCTACTGAGAAGCAGCAGTACCAGAGAGCATGAATGCAATTTTCTCCTGCGTGTTTGGCTGAAGATCAGCAATGTGCTTCTGTGAATGGGAACATCGTTGGTAAAAATGACGAGACTGTTGCTGTCATAGTACAGTGGTGTCTTGCAGTGCTGGTAGCTCAAATCTAGCTTTTCTTGTTAACTTAAACTCTGAGAAGACTGTGGGAGTTTAACCCCCTGCAACCTATGCAAACCTTGAGCTATGAGCCAGATGGAGAGAAGAGCAAAGAAAATGCATATTTGCTTTTCATTCATGGGGTTTTTTTGATTCAGCTGGAAGAGCTCTATACAGCTTTAAATGCTGTTGCATCTCATTTGTAGTTGAATGTAAGCTGATGGTAATAGATTATGTGTCAGGTATCTTGTGAGAGCAACTACCTGGCAATGACATATTATTAACAGTAGTTTAAATGATTGCACTTGTTCCAGAACAAAAGGTGGAGTTCTATCTATTTTTAACTAGCATTTCTGAACTATCTGATTGGAGCTTGGTGCTGGGGGGAGGCCTTAAAAGAAAGACAAGTTTTCTTCATGATGATCACTAGGGTGTGATGGCTGAGGGAGCATCACAGCGTTTGGGGACCACGGTGGCCCCTGTGCCTGAGGATGGTGTGTGTGCACAGACTGGGGTGTTTATCTGGGGTGTTCCTACAAATTCCCGGGACAGGGCTGCACCCAGGGCCAGGGATTGTAAGCACTGTTGCCTGAAGGTTTCCTGGGACCACAGTGCCCATGAGAGCAGGAGCAGAGGCACAGGGAGGAGGAATATTTAGCAGTATTTAGCAGGGGCTCTCACCAAACCAGGGTGATCCCTGGCTTCTCCAGTAATTTGCAAGGCATCTGCTTCCATAGATGTCTCTGGCATTGTCAGTGAGCCCCACTTGGAGCAGATTATGGCAAATAAGAGCCCATAGTGATCAGGCTACAATGCTGTGAGATTTTGACCTGGTGATTCAAAGGACCTTTTCCCAGTTGTTCATGCTGGAAAATTCTTGTATGTTTGTTTTGGTTTTCTGTTTGCTTCCTCCCAACTCCACCCTCAGGGAGCTGTTAAATTTTATGGGGATTATTGCTTTGGAAAACAGCAGGAGGTCCTGTGGCACTTTGTGCCAGCCAGCCCTGCAAGAGCCAGTGAGCCTGGCTTGGGAGAGGCCAAGGAAGGTGTAAAGAGGTGCTGTGGAAATGCAGGTGGGCAGTTCAGGTACACAGGAGGGATCAGGGGTGCAATTTAAAGGATCCACAGAGGGATGTGCTTGACTGATGACTGTTCCCTTCCATCTCAGTGCTATGAAGGACATCTGTGCCCAGGGTTTGCAGCAAGGGACAGTCATCCCCTCATGTATAGTGACCCCTTGTACTAACTGCCTTGCACAATTAACTTTGCACAGTTTTGAGCCCTTTCCCTGTCTTCAGGGGAACCCCAAATAGTAAATGTTTAGGGCTTGTTTTCTTTTATTATGTGAGGGGGCCCTCCATGGCAGCACCATATCCTTACAGTGTCCTTTGGCTGGGAGAACTGGAATTGTCCTCCATGGGCTGGCCATTCCTGTGCTGCCCAATGACTCCCTGGAGCTGACTGCAAGCAAGAAATGTGTTGTCGTGCTAAGGTGGAAGTGACACTGTTACAGCTGGATGTCTCCCTCCTAGAAGCAAGGGAAGAGAATGAAAAGAAAAAAAGTGGTAATTGCAGACTGGTTTGCAGTTATGTGAGGGAGTTTAAATTACCTGGTATGAAAGAAGTGATGAGACAATGCTAATTGCACCCCGCAATGGTGTCTTTTAAAGTCAAAATGGAAGGGTTTTTCCTTCAGAATTTCTCAGGAAGTTTTTAGTGATGCTAGACTCCCAGGGGCAGAATGAGCTGAACACTGCTGCAGCATCCTATTTACAGGACTTTTCCAAGCATTCAGCTTTAGAAATAGTCTATGGAAGGATGACCATGTTGTGGGCACCAGAACCAAAAATGTTTGAATGGCAAGTCCTCCTTGCTCCCCAGACCAATAATTCTTCATAGCACTTCGAGTCATGCTCAAAAATGTTGAATCTGTTTCCCCTTAAAGTTGGAAAGACAGAAGAAAAGTTTGAAAATAAACATGGAAGAACACCTGGTTTGCAGGAAACTTGTTATGGGAAAAAAAAATATCAAAAGTAGCCTGGTGATGCCTTTTTTTGCTATTGCTGTTTACATTAGGGGACCTAATTTGTAGGATTTTCTTAAAAATGCTTTCATGTGCAAAATCCAGAACTTATAAATCAAAACTCAAATGAGACAACATTAAGGATAGAAATTTTTATTCCTCATTTGGAGCAATGTCATCCAATTTAGGGCTTGGCAGAGAGGAGTGAAACATCAGTGGAGTCAGGGTGCTACTTGCTTCCAATAAACATTTGGTTAGAACATTGTTCATATCAATCTTACTTTTTCTTACCATAGTTTTTTACAGGCATTCATCTGCCTCTTGCATTGTTTAATATTCACGTGCTGGAAGAGTAATTTAAATAGGTAACAGATACAGAGTGTGACCCTTAAATCTTGTTCTTAACAATGCAAACTGTTGGATGGCAGCAACTGCAAATATATGCCTGGCTTTGCAGGATGCCAACTCGTTGGCTTAGGACACAGAGCTCACCTCAAATGACAATAAACATTTTATATTTAGACGTTCATTGCTGAGCCAGATGAACAAAAAGAACTGCGGCATTTAATTTTTTTTTTTCTTTTTGTTTTATGTGGAGGTCTTACGCAGGCTGACGGCAGTCCTGGAGCAGAGATCCAGCCTCGCTCCAGCGGGATACACGCGCAGATTTTAATCAGGAGCGACAGCTATGGAGCAGAGCTGTGTGCAGCACCTCTGAGACCTGTGCTCCTGCTGGTGCTCACACTTGCATGGAGGAGGAGGTGAGCAGGATGCCAAGCAATAACAGCGATAACATTCGAAATTTCTGGAAGAAATGCAAGCATTTGTTTCTAAGAAGTTGTTTCTGCCTATGTTTTTCTTCATTCCTGTCTTTTCTGCTCCTTCTGATAAGCAGTGCGCTTGTGTTGGCAGAAGGATAAGCTGTGAAGTGGGTTAAATGAGAAGGCTTTCCTGTGAGGAGGAAAAACTGGAAGTGTCTTGGACCCATATTTTGTAGTTAAATGGATTATAGCTGTCAAAACATGCTGTAGCAAGAGGCTGAGTAAGGCTGGGTCACAGACTGAAGAAACTGTGGGTGATTTAGGAAATCTGGAGGGTTTTTTGCTTGTTTGAGGTGTGTCTGGTTTTTAAGTGCTTCTGCAGAGCTGGATATCTCTAAGTGTAATGTCAGATTGTTTCAGGGCCAAAAAGAAATGCTGAATTGCTGCAGGAGGGGTGTGTGGGGTTTGCTGTGTCTGTGGGCACTCCAGGAGGTGCAGTGATGTGGGAGTGGGGTGGGGACATTCCCAGAGCTGCAGTGATGTGGCAGTGGGATGGGACATTCCCAGAGCTGCAGTGATGTGGCAGTGGGATGGGGACATTCCCAGAGCTGCAGTGATGTGGCAGTGGGATGGGGACATTCCCAGAGCTGCAGTGATGTGGCAGTGGGATGGGACATTCCCAGAGCTGCAGTGATGTGGACAGTGAGGTGGGACATTCCCAGGGCTGCAGTGATGTGGGCAGTGGGGTGGATGTACTCCTGTGTCTGTCACCTCAGGCTGTTTTTGTGTGTTTCTGTGCTTGTGTGGGAGCTGTCTGTGTCTGAACAGCTGAACAGGATCTCAGTAACATCTTCCTTTTCATATTGTTTTGATGTTACCATAGTTTGTCTCCCATTATTAATTAATGGATTGACTCTCCTTCAAAGCAGGTCACTGCTTTTTACAAGTACTGAACTGAAAGTGGGGACCGAATCCTCTCTACAACAATATTTTGTGCTGGAAAGTCGTTGGAATGTTTCAGGCACCCGCTTTGGTGCTCCTCAATTAGGGGAGGACTTCATGCATGCTGTACTGTGGGAAATGAGTGTGCATTTATTTCTCTATTTAATTGCTTTTTGTGTGAGTGAGCTTTGTTAATATCATTGTATCACAAACTTTTCTGGCTTGCCTCAGAAATCTTCCCCAAAAGAGTAAACAACTATTTCTAAACAAGATCCTCCAGGCCAGCACATCCTGGACAGCTGAGATGACCTGGGAAGTGGTTGTAGCCATTACGGTCACAATGACACAGATGTCTTATCATTAAATTTTCCATCTCCTTGAATTACTGATCTCACTTCTAAGCTTTTTGTGACTGGAACTTCTGAGTCCCTGATGTGAGAAAAGCCTCAACAGCTTCTAGTTATCTTTTTGGTAACTTCCATCAAAATTTCTGACTAAACTTCAAAGCTTCCAGCTGCCTTCTTGGCAGTAGCTTTAGGGAGCTGAGCCAGCACTAGTGCCAGCCCCCTCGGGGTCCACACCTGCCCTCGGGCTGGGATGGCTGGTGTGATGCTGCTGGTGCCTCTGCTGCAGGAAAGGAACCTCCTTACAAACCAAAAATAAGGCACAAGGCAGCTGGCAATGCTCAGCTCCAGCTGCTTTAAGTAGGCTCAAGCTTTCTGAAGGCTGGCCCTAAAGTGGCAGCCTTTCTATTGCCAGAGAGACATGAGAGTCAATAGGAAAGACTAACAGAAGTCCAGAGTACACACACACACCCCCTGTGTGAGGAGTACCTGCTCTACCTGAAGTTATTGAAGAGAGAAAGTGTGTTAGTGAGCATTTAGAGGGTAACAATTCTCTGATATATATTGATTATGTGAGCTAAAACTGAGAAGTAATGAATGCTTATCTGGGAAGTACAGCAGAAAATTAAACTTAAAGAAACAAGTTTGCTATCCTTGTTTAGCCAAAAGGACTTCCTAGAGGAAAGAAATGTTAAGAAATATCTACTGTGCAAAACCAGTAGGATTTCTTGCAAACTAGGACGAGGTTTATCAGGCATAGCATAGGTGTGGCCATTTCACCCTTGCAGGATTTAACAGAGGGCTGGGATTTACCTAAACTCAGAGTTGAACCAGAAGAACTAGATTTGTCTCTGCCAGGAAACAAAACTTGTAATTGAGTCAATGGACACAGTGTGAAATAGCAAAGGGAAGATGGAAAACACAGGAATGGTTTGTGCTAACGTTATGTGGAAGGAAGAAGGAAAGCAAGCTGAGAAAAAACCTACCAGATAATGGAAGTACCCAGTCATGATCTTCCTGTTTGCAGTGGGGTAAACTGCAGCTCTTCAGGAAAAACGTAAATGTCAGAAGCCCCTGGGGGAGATGAGATCACCCAAAGGTTTGGTACCACACCAAAGTAGCCTCACTGTATTGAAATAAGGGATCCTCACGTGGAATGCTGAAACATTTCCCTTCTGTCAGTTCAGTGCTAAACAGAAACTGCAAACCCAAGTGATCAAGTGGATCAGATGGAGCAATGCATGTTTGGCTCCTTATTGCTGACAACTGGCCCCAGCAAAGGCTGAAATGGTTTCATGGGTGTCAGCTGCTGCATTCCTACAGTGTTTACAGTTAATGAGATTATTGGATTGTTGTGTGATGTATTAAAAAAGGTGATACTGTATCTACAACAGCAAGATGTTGGGGCAAGTCAGAGATGTGGACAGATAAGATCAGAGTGAACATATGGGACACATATATGGGGCTGTATATTTCAGAGATTTTGTCCATTTACTCCACTTCTTGCAGTGAATAGAGATGATTTATTAGAGAGTCCAAAAATGCCATTAGTATGCTACATTTGAAATGCATACCCTAATCTTATTTACCACTGTCCTGTGCAAGGAATTTTAATTATTCTCCAAGGTTTAAGGGAAAAATACAGCCAGAAAAAAAAAAGAATGATGCTACAGTAAACTGGCTTTCTCACACATAAGCTTTCATAAGTAACAAAAGGGAAAATGTGGAAATGTGCAAGCAGCATTCATTTTTTTACTGCATTACCTTGTGAAAGCAGTATACAAGAACTATTAATATTTTATTACAGAGATCTGTAGCTGTGTTTGCAGTTGACTGATCTGATTGTATGGTAAGAATTAAGTTGACAAACGAGCACTTCTCAAGTACAGTGCTGGCTTTTTCCTCTCTTTGTTTTCATGGCCAGTTGTTAAGCTGTGTCACCCCGGCCACGATGTTGTTAGGCAGGGTTTTCCTTTTCACACCATGCCTTTCTGGGCACGTGTTGCATGGGGTGAGGTGCTCAGAACCGAGGGAAACCTGCAGCCAGACACAGGTGACCTTGTCTGCTCCACCACTGGCACCCTTCTCAGCAGCAATGACATTTGATGTACTCTCACCGAAAACACAGTGGCTTGGTTGGTGTGGGGTTTGTCGGATTTCTTTGTTTTGTTTTGGAGTTCATTGGTTTGTTTTGCTTTGTTGTTGTTTTTTTCCCCTTCTCTTGGTTCCTTGTCTTTTTTGCAGTAATACTCCGTAGGCCTGATCCAGCTGAAAATTCCCCACAACAAAAAGTCTGGGTTTTGTTGTAATTTATAGAGGATGAGCTGTAACCAAAAGATACTGATCCTCGGGTCCAGTTCAGTATTTGCTCACTGCTCACGTGCTGCCACAGAACAGAGGGACGGTGGGACGTGGAGCTGGCTCTGGGGCAGCCTGGGGACTGAGGTGCTCTGCTGTGTGGGGCACCCCTGGGCTCTGGTCTGGCTCTGTGATCCTGCAGATGGAGAGGTTTCTGCATTTGTTTTGTTTGTTTGTTTTTATTCTAAATTTATATGCTCTTCGGATAGATAAACAGATAAATTCACATGAGTAGCCCTGTCCAAGTCAGTGAGAGCAAGAACTCTTTTGGTGAGACTAGAGCTGTTGTGCGCTGAGAGCAACCATGGTGATGCAATTACAAAATTTTATTGTTAACTGAGTGCACCATATACACTTTCTCATTTTTATTATGTTAATAATTTTTAGTGTTTTGAACCATCTTCTGTGCAATTGTCTGGTTGCAAAAATTTCCCCAAACAAGCCTTTAATCCTTTTCACTGCTGCTTTCTCGAATCTTTATACAGGAAGAACCACAGTGCCTCCTTTTTTTTTTTTTTTTTTAAAGCATTCAATTCCAAGTCCTTGGGATACATTTAATTCACTGACTCTGTATCTCTGCTTTTCCAAGGAAGGAATGAGAGTACTAGTGGCTGGTTTGAAAAACAGCAGCTGACAACTGCGCTTAGTTTAAGACGGCGTTAAACTCTTGTTCCTCATTTATTTGAGTCTGTCAAAGATGCATCTGATATGGAAGACCTAATTCTGGTACAATCCTCTTCTTGTACAGTTGAGTCTGTACTGATGCAAAGGCTTTGTCACACACATAAGTTACTCTGATAATAAGAGAAGAAAGTTACTTTGAAAGAAATGCCGCTTGGAAATACTTGTGTTAAATCAAATCCGATTGTTATAAGTTTCAAATGCCAATTAAAATATCCCAGCTCAGCAAAACCTGATATCAGTAGCCAGATAAATGCCTTCTAACTGGATCAGCTGATGGGAGAGGGGACCCTTTTCATGAATGCAGGTGTCAGATGATCTCATATTTGCCTTAGAACCCATTTCCTTGGCTGTAGGCTCACAGAGGAGAGAAAATATAAGGTCTGAGAAAAAACAGCAGCAACCCATAGTGCTCACTGTGACCTTGTAAAGCAATTTAGGCCCATATGAGTGAAGAATTTCAACAGCAACTACACACAAATAGGTGCATTGGGGCCGCTGTAGACTCGTGCCTTGTTTTTCCATCTCTAAAATGAGGGAAGTGGTACTTCCTTACCTGTATTTCCACCCTTTCTGGGTGTAGGGAGGTTGTGAAGTGCCTGAATGCCAAGAAACGTGCCTTCTCTTTGTATCACTGATGTATTTCTAATTCCATAGTTTCAGTTAGTGGGAGTT